TCCCACTATTAACTTTTACATGTGTATAACTGATCTCTTTTAAATCTTGATTCTATGTCTGTAACTATTGCATTCATAACTGCTACTGCTGTGTCTGTAACTGCTATTCTCTTTCTCATCTTTTTCAAAGTATTCTCTGAGATGTATGAATGCAATTCATATAACAGATAGAATGATGAACACTTGAAGACTGTATACTGTCAAATTCATGTGACTAATAGCATCTGACTGAGATATTCATCTCATAATCTTATAGACTTACTCACTAGATATTTCATCAGCATGTTACTCAAGATTTTATTCAAGCATTTCATCTTTCTATTTATTCACAGATAATATGATGTCGTTCTACAATATCTTATCTATAACTGACTTATGAAATGTCTCACTGCTTTTTCTACAAGATTTATATCATTATCAGTTAGAATCTCACAGAGCATTTCATAATTGATATAGATTTTATTATGTAGAAACTTCATCATTATCTTCTCTATCATCTCTGAAGCTGCTTTCATGACTGACTAGTCAGTAGTGTAATCAATAGCTGTGATTATTCATTAATTTTCATTTGATATTTGCAGTAATATATCTATGAGATTCATTCTTCATTATTTAAACAGTTGTATTATACACTTTATCTGATATTATACTTTCTTATATTCTAACTCTTTCTTAGATTCTTTTACAATCTGATAATTCAAGCATTTATAAGTGTACATCTGAATGTTCTCAGCCATGCTTGATCAGTATACTCTTGATTTGAGTATACTCATGAGTTCAGAGCTTTCTAAGTGACTGAATTTCTTATACATGTAAGTCATCAAGTCATGTCTAAATAAATGTTCTAGATAGAGAGCTTCTGCATATTCTAGATCACAGTAAAGTACAATATCATTTTTCAATTTTCTCAGTTTGAAGTTTAGAAGTATCTCTTCTATCACTTTCATAAGATGCTTATCATCTGATATCTTATCATTCTTTAAGTGAGAGATTATTATGTTCACTTATTCAGATTTCTTGCATCTTCTTAGTATATTTAACATGAACTTCTCTTATATCTGATTCATAGAACTCTCATTTATGAAATTGAGTCTGTGATTGATTATATTAGATATCACAGTATCTGATCTCTTTCTATATTTGATATAAAGATTATACACTTGAAACTCTGAGATTCAATGTGCTAAGTGTTTGAAAGATTTTATCATTGATTATAGATAGATAAGGCTTTCATAATCTGTGATCACTGTTGTCATATGTCTGTTATCAATATATCTATTTCATAATATCAGTGCATACTTGATCACTAGCAATTTCTTTTCATGTACTGAGTAATTGAGCTCAGTACTTGATAGTTTTCTATCATTATATATAATCAGATACAGCTTTCTATTCTTACTTATCTATAGAAGAGTATCTCTGATAGCTCATTTAGATATATTCATCTTAATATAGAAAGATTTATCACAATCTGATTGAATAAGCACTGAGAATATTATTACATATTCTCTCAGTGTGAGAAAAGCCTCTTTATATATAATATTTCAGATAATTGACTGAAACTTCTTCTTTCACAGATTTGTATCTGTTTCTCTTAAGAGATCTGAGAGTAATATAGATATTCATGTAAAATTCTTGATGAATCTGCAGTAATATGAGATCAACTTAAGAAACTATTATATATAATGTATATTTCTCAGCTGCAGTTAATTCACTATAACATTCAATTTCTTCAGAATGAGATGTATATAATTATCACTCACTACATATTCTATGAACTTCAACTCTTTCATTTCAAACACATACTTTGTTAATTTCATATAGAGCTTATACTCTGTCAGAGTTATAAGCACTTTATTAAGATACTTCAGATGTTTATTATATGAGTTTAAAAAGACTAGAATATCATTGAGATATATAAGACATGAGATTTCATTTTGTTTATGAAGAATTGTATTCATTATTATTTAAAAGATAGCAGACACATTTGTCAGACTGAATAATATTACTAGAAATTCAAACTTTTCTTATTATATATTAAACATGATTCATAGAACTGACAGTTTATCTACATAGATCTATCAGTATTCTGAGAGAAGATTGATTTTTAATAGATATTAAGTATTTTCAACTGTATTCAACTGTTATTGAATCTGTGACAGTGAATATTCATTCTTGATTATAAGTTTGTTAAGTGCTTGATAATCAATATATATCTGTCACTCTTTATCTGTCTTTTTCATGAATAGAACTGAAAAGTCTCATACACTTGATAAGAATTGTATGAGATTACATTTTAGAAGGTCTGTGATCTGACACTTCTATTCTTTGAGATGTGTTTCTGACAGAGAATATACATTCTGATTGACTGATTTTATGTTCTCTGTGTCAATCTCATGCACAAATTCTTGTTTCAGTGATAATTTCAGTGAAAGATCTGTTCAGAAGATCTTTTCATACTTCTTCAGAAGCTTCTTTATACACTTATTCTTCTGTATATTCTTTATCTTAGTTTTCTTCACTTTCAGATCTTATATGATATACAGAATACTTTCAGATGATATCTTGTAAATCATTCTTTTTACTTATTAATGTATAAGCAGATTTAACTCTTCTATATCAGAGACATGAATTGTTCTTCTCATATCAGTTAATAGAAATATATAAACTGTTTTCTTTCTATCAGTCAACTGTATATAACATGTACATTATTGAATCTGAAGATTGAACTGTTGAAATTAATTAAGTCTGAGAATAAGATTATATTTCATATTCTACAGCTCTCATGCTCAAATATAGCAAGATTATTCTTTAAAGTACAAGAGAACTCTTACTCTTACAGATGATATTAAATATCAGTTATCAGATAATCTTATATATCAGAGATTCTTCACTTAACAGATCTCTTTCAGTCTTTAAATTATATAATTATTAATATATTGTGTAGAAGCTTCTGTGTCTGCTAATACTTTTGCAGTCATATCTCAATTCTTACTCAAGTATCTCTTATATATTCATATTTCAGATCTTAAGATATTGAGATGAGTGTCTGCTTTATCATTCTTATCTACATCTCATTCAGAAGCCTGCTTTCTCTTGATATTTACAGAATTCAGAGAGTTATCTAACACAGGTATCTCTTTCACTTTGAAGACTTTTTATAGAATATCAGTGAGTGTCTTTAAGCTCACTGATTCTGCTAGTTTTTTTAACTCTCTTACTTCTCTTAACTGCATATACTGAATAGGGTTTGCCAACCGCTCCACCACGAACTCGCTCGATTTTTCGAATAAGAACCCGCCGATAGATCCATCGAAAAGCCCTCGATCATACGAGCATTCTGACCCCATCGCCGACCGCATACCCTGTGTGGTGGTGGAGTTATCCAGCCAAACGTGAACCGGACGTTGTTCGAAACTCCTGTGTGGGAGTATCCCCCGTTCTCCCCTACCACACCACAACCCCGGGCCAAAGTGCCATACAAATTGTAAGGTGAAGAGACCTAGCCATATGCACCAATCTTCTCGATTTTGGAAGATCCCCGATCTGTAGTTGTGGAGATATCTGAGGAGCGACCTCCGCGAAAACCCTGTCCATCTTTGATGTTCCAAAACACCAACGCCAAGTCCCTCCGTTGTACCGCCCTTCCTAATCTGGCCCATCCCCGGCAGAAAAATACAAAAAGATACCTCGGCGATAATATCAAGCACATAACCAACAGCCACTTCTGAAGTGCAACCTCCGCGGTCTGTCTTCAGTGTATCTGAACATCAACGCCAAGTCTCGCCCTTGTACCACCCCTCTCAATCTGGCCCATCCCCGACAGAAAAGTACAAAAAGATACCTCAGCAACTGTACTCAATACATAATCAGCAGACACGACAACTATAAAATCAGTATATCCCAAGGTCTGACTGAGCCTTTGATCCCTGCACAGTGAGATATATTAAATCTAGTTTTAATACCTCAATATTCAATAGATTCTGCAAGGGATTGAGAACAGCAACACTAGGTTTCTATTGAATTTGAGAATTAACTCTATATTGATATAATCATTGACAAAGTCTTCTATTTTGAGATATAAATAACCAGTTCCTCTACATCCCGCTGACAATATTTATATTATCATATAGAAACAGACTTATATTCTCTATAATATCAAGACTCTGAAGAGGGAAAGTCTTGATAGAAGGTATACAGTAGTGTATATCTTAGCAGTTTCTATCTCATTCTTCTGCAGCAGTTAATGCAAAAAAAAGATTTTAGAAATAGTTTTTTACTTCTCTTAAAAAAGTAAGGTGTTTTTCTCTGGGTTTTACACAATATTCTTACAAAGAATTAAAAACAGAGTTGTTTTCTGTCATAATTTCATATTCTTTTAAGTAAGAATTACTTTTTCAGTGGCTGAAGAGCTTTCATTAATACTTAATTCTTTTTTACACTCTTTATTAACTGATTTGAGTTGCACACCTGTTGTGTGAGAAGAATTGAATAATTTAGAATAAAATTGAATAGTTTTAATCAATTTCTCTTCAAAAAATTGATTTATTTTTTGTCAGTTTTTCTCTCAAAAACTGTCATATCATCTGATTTACTATCAATTGATATCATACTTTTCCTCACTGTATCCCAAGAAAGAGATTGTAAAGATTTTATTGATTTATCTTAAAAATCAATTTTAGTTTATTAGATTCTCTTCAAAAATCTAACCTAGTTACTGAACTAGTGTGAAAAAAATCAGGTGTTTTATATACAAAAGTCTGCGATTCTTCTTTTGAAATAGTCTGATCAACTTTTCAATTGAAAACAGACTTAGAAACCTCTTAATTGAAACAGTCTGACCAACTTTTCAATTCAAAAGAGTTTAATAAATATCTCAATTGAATTAGTCTGACCAACTTTTCATTGAGTAAGAACAATGAGTTCAAAAGTACACTCAGTTGATGTGGAAAAAGATGCTTTCTCAAATGCTATTTCTGAGATTGAAATTCTGAAGAGAAGAAAGAAAGAAGAGATAGAGAAACAACAAGTTCTTGAAATACAGAAACTTGAAAAAGCAAGTAAAATTCTTGAAAAGCAGTGTCTGAGTGAGATGAATGAAGAAGTTCTGTTAATTCTTCATGCTCAGGCTAGACAACTACAGGAAGTGATCAAGTTCAAACTTGGAATTTCAAACACAGTTCAAAAAACTTTGAAAATTTCTAATACAATCACTGACTCTTCAGTTTGCTCTTCTTTCTTTTCTACTTCTTCTTCTTCTCCTTCTTTGAATCAGAAGAAAACATATGCTCAAGCAGCTGAATCTGCTGCCTCTAAATCTGCTATCTCTAAACCTGCTGTCTCAAAACCTGCTCAAAATCCTGAGAAAACTGAGAAGAATACTGCTCATGCCTCTATTCATAGAGAAGTGAAAAAGAAAATGTAAAAAGAGAAAAACTTTCAAATCTTCAGAAATAGAAGACTTATTCTCAAAGTCTCAAACCAGGACATTCTGCAAAGAAACAAGCTAAACTCAAATCTCATTTTCAGAATCAGAAATGAAATTAATCAGCAGTTCTTTTCTCAGTTGATGACTGATATTGAAGTTCAAAAATCAGTTATAGCTTCAATTGAATCATCATTCTTTGAAAACTTAATCATTCTGACTACAATGCCTGAATTCAGTGCTGAATTCCTTATTCAGAATGAGAATCTCTGAAAGTCAGCAGTAGAATCTTTGTTAAACACAACAATTCTATCTGAAAGAGATGAAAAGTGGGACAAATTCATTCTTCATGATATTCCAGTTGAAATTTTTGACTGTGAAGAAGAAATGCTACTTCTCAAAAATGAATTGAAAGAATATAACTCTATTCAACTGAGAAAGAAGCCTGTATGACTAAATTCAATTAAGTTCAGATAAAGCAGGAGAAATGCCTCTGTTCTAGTATATATAAAAACACTTGAACAGTCAAAGATCTCTGAAGTAAGAGTAGCAGGTTTGAAAATGAGAGTTCATGAATACAAAGACTCAAGAATGAACCTCAAAGCTCAAACACAGTGTTCAAACTGTCAAAGATATGAACACTTTGCAATCTCATGTTTTAGAGACTCAAAATGTGCATTCTGTGCCAGAGATCACAAAACTAGTGAGCATAAATGTGAAACATGCTCAAAAAGAGGTGAAATTTATCAACATACTCTGCTTAAGTGCTCTAATTGCAAAGAAAAACATGCATCTAGCTCAAAAGAATGTATGTTTATTCCTAGAACTCAAAAGAACTGGAGAAAAGATGAAGCTCAAAGTCAATCTAGAACTGAAGAGAAGAGTCAAGCCAGTAAACTCACAACTGCAAGCTCAAAAAGAAGAAACTCTCAACTATCTAAGTCTTCAAACTCCAACTCTTCAGCTAAATGTAAATAGAACTTGAATTCTCAAACTTCTGTTAAGATTAGAGAATTGAGAAATGACTCTGATGATAAACTAGATATAATACAAGCAGTTGAGATTCCTACTTTTCAGAACAGTTATAATCTACTATCTGATGATAGTGATTAGATTCTACTCTACTCTCTTTTAGTATGAATATACAACAAAAACAACAAAAAAAGTTTAAAAACTCTTCAAAAATCACATTTATTCAAAATAATGTGAATAGAAACTCAAATTGTATTTATTCTTGTCTTCAAATTGCATTTGAATAAAAAGTTGATTTTATACTGCTTCAGAAGCCGAATTTTGATGCTGAGTAAAAATATGTTATTTCTCATTCAAGCTACTACTGCTTTTTACCTCAAAAGTCTGAGATAAAGTCAAGAGTAGTGATCTATGGAAGAAAGAGATCAAGATATCAATTTAATCTAAGATTTGATATCATGTCTGACCCTGATATTCTGGTGAGTGATATTATAGATAAAGAAAATGAGTTTGATACTATACAGCTCATAAATATCTATAATGAAAAGTCATTGAAGGAAAATAATAATATCTGGACAATTGATAGAGGATTTCTGAACATAACTCCATCAAGAAACTCTATAATTGCAGGAGATTTCAATGCACATCATCCCTGATGAAATTCAGAATGCAAGAGAGCAGTGAGAGCTGATAATCTGATTGAATGAATCTTTGAGCATTCAATAGATTTGGTTAATAAGTCTGATCAACAAACATTCTTTAGAAAAGGCATGAAACAGAAGTCTATTATAGATCTAACCTTCATGTCACAAAATCTAATGAAAAGAAGACTTGTAAACTGGTTTATTGATTCAAATGAGACATCAGAATCAGGTCATAAGATTATTCAATTTGATATTGAACTGAGTGAAAAACAAATGAGTGAAAATCCTCTTCTCTCTAATCAGTATAACTTTGAAAAAGCTGATTGGAAAGCAGTTGAAGAAAGCATAAAACTGCTAAAATCTGAAAGACAGAATGAGCTAGACTGACCGTGTGACCGTGTCTGGGACCAGGACCAGATTTTTTGATAGTCCCATTACCAATTCGACTGATCCCATTACACGGTTTTAACATTATATAGTGGTCTCATACTGTCCCAGTGGGACTTACTGTCTACTCTTGTCACATTTTCCAAATGAGACCATGATTTCCACTTCTCATTTTAAATTATTTTTATTGCTTTAAATGACTTTAAATCTCATTTGAGCGTTACCAAAAAGCGTTACTTTTTAAAAAATTAAAAATAGTCTAAAAAAAACCTTAAAATGTCTAAAAATAGTAACTTTATGCCAAGAATGGGACTAAATGGGACCAAATGGGACCACTTTCTCATTTTTTTCAAGTCATGGTTTCATTTTAAGATCTGATATATAGTCACTTTACATGTTTTTTTGATAGCCAGTCCCAGCGGGATTCACGCCAAGAAATGTATGAGACCAGACCAAATGGGACCAAACGTGAAATTCATGGTCCCGGCGGCCAGTCTAGAATGAGCTATATTGGAATTCTGGTCAAGATATCTCAAATGAAATGCTTGAGAATAGAGTGAAGCTTATTACATCTATTATTCTAATAAGTGTTAGAGATAATATTTCAAAAAGAAAATCTTCTGAGTATTCAAAATCTTGATGAAATGAGAATATCTCATCTAAAAGGAAAGAATTAGCTACTGCTAGAAGAGATTGAAAAAATGATGTAATATCTGATGAAGAGTTCAAAGCTGTCAGAAATGAATATTTTTCAGATATCAAAAGAGCTAAAACAGACTGCTGGAATAAATTTCTTGAAGAAGCACAAGGAAAGGAAATTTTTAAAGTTTTTAACTATACTAAAACAAGAAGTGTAGCAAAACTTCCAGCCTTAGAATATGAGTTTCAGAATGAATCATATACAGCAAACTCTTTTGAGAAAAAATGTCAAGCTTTCATGAGAATTCTCTTTCAGAACTCATCAGACTCAGATTCAGATTCAGAGAAAGAGAATATATCACTTCTCAACTACATTAATGAAAATGACTGGGAATGACCTGATCTTACACAAGATGAGTTAGAGTCAGCTATCTTCTCAAGTTCTGTTAAAACTGCTGCAGATCCTGATTCAATTAATCACTTGATTATTCAAAATACATATTCCTACTTAAAGAATGAATATTTTGAGCTCTTTTTCAATCTCTTGAAAAATGAATATCATTCTGAATGCTGAAGAGAAGCCACTGAAGTGATT